TGCGGTGAAGGGGGCGAGGCAGGCACGCGGGCGGGTAGTCGCGCGAGGAGTGCAGGGCACGTGACGGACGGGACAATGGTGGGCCCGGCTGCATGCGGCTCCCTGCCAGCCGCAAGGCTGCTGCTGCCCCTGCTGGCGCCGCCGGCTAGCCCCACCGTGGACCCCCGCTTCTGCATCTCCAGCGTGCTCAGCGGGGCGGGGGCCCACTTGGTCTTGCGCGCCCCCTCCACCGCCGCCACCGTGGCCAGCGGCGAGGCGGCGCACAGCTCGTGCAGCATGCCTGCCACGGCGGCGTCGTACAGGCGGCCGCGGTGCCAGCGGAACTCGCAGGCCTTGGGGCCGTCGCGGTACAGCACCTGCGGTACGTGGTGGTACATGCAGAGGTACGGGTGGCAGTACGGAGGCAATGAGGTGGCGCAACGCATAAGCAAGCATGGGCGGGCAGGCAGCGTGGACAGACAAGGGTGTGGGTGTGGGGATGACGAGCAGTGCGGGCGGGCAAGCAAGCGGGAGCGGGTCGCAGCGTGCGCAGCGGGCGCCAGCTCATCGCCTCCACACCTCCTCCGCACCTGTATGTACCAGAAGTTCTCGGGGATGTGGGCCTGGATCTCCCACGCCCGCTGCACAATCAGGCCCAGCGTTGGGAACTGGCAGGGGCCGTAGCTGCGGGGGCGAGAGCGGGGGAGAAGGGGGGGCAGCTGAAGGCCGTGGGGCAACCGATACGGTTGCTCTGCTTGCTCGTCCGCCTCATCCTCCTCATACCGCCATGGCCGGCCCAGCCACCCGCCACCTGCCGGCAGCCCGGCAGCCCGCTGGCCTGCGGCGCGCCCCGCCCCGCCCCCACCTGAGCAGCACCCGCCCGTTGTCCCCCGCCATCTCCCCCCAGTCGAACTTGTTCTGCAGCAGCAGGGTCTGGAGGCGGGTGAAGGAGGCGCCGATGCGCAGGTCGATCTCCTGGCGCGCATCCACCGCCTGGGCCTCGTGCTCGTTGGGGGGCACCAGGTTGGCCATGGCGCGCGCCACGTCAGCATAGATCAGCGCTGCATGGTGGTGGGGGTGGGGGTGGGGGGATCTGCAGGCAAGGGGGGGGCAGGGTCGCGGGAGGGGGGCGGGGGGGCGGGCCGCCCAGGGCGGTAGCGGGGGTGTGAGGAGGCCGGGCAGGCCGC